TATCTAACTAACTAACTAACTAGCTAACTAACTAACTATGTAACTGTCTACATCTACCTCTCTCGATCTCCGTCTCTCTCTCTCTCTCTATATATATATATGTACACATTGCTCACATGCGTATTTAGATTTAAATGTCTAGTTAAAGCCATATTAGTATCTATATCTATACGGTCCTTTACATGTACACAAGGCTTATGTTCAAAACACTGTTGGTTTAATTCATGTCCTCGTTTGCTTATGCAGCTTGTTCCATGTGTGTCGATGTTATATGTATTATATACTATATGTAGTATACATGTACATAGCTAAGTATAAATATATTATGCATACATATTTATGTATGTGTGTATATGCATGTGTACACACACGAAGAACACAAACGCACAGAGAGAGAGAGAGAGACACGTACAAATGCCCAGAGACGGGAACCACGCCTATATGTAATCTTGTATGCACATGTACCGATACATGAACGCACCTTATACACATAGGCAACAGAACATACTTGCATGTTGCCATGTCCCACTCACCTATGCAAAAAGTGGGGCATGCTGAGAGTCAGACTGTGGTTTAACACATGTCGTAGCTCATGCAGGTGTGCTATGCACAGCTACATGCATCAAGTAAGTAACTATGCAGTACACCCTTGAGTCCATGAGAACATGACGTGTCATCCACTGCAACTTACAACCCTCGCCTCGAAACAGCAACAAGCAGCCTCCACTTGCACCCAAGTTGCCCGATCGTGCTCAGGACGGTGCTGGGACAACTCCTCATAGTGAACCTCTGCCGTCTGCATGATTCCTGAGATGGCATCTTAACCCGAAGCCCTAAACCAAACAAGCAATATGCTCAAGACCTTAAAGCTGTAACTTACTTCTTCGGTGGGGCTTGGGATCAAGGGGATCGCCGTGACCAAACGACCCCTGAACCAAGACATACAATACGGGTATGTATGTATGTATGTATGTATGTATGTACATCTATCTATCTATCTATCTATCTATATACACACACGCCTCCTAATTTCCCCGTCTATCTATGACATCTATGCTACTCACTACGGCTGTCACTCTCACTATTGGCTTGCGGGTGTTCGAACTTTGTTGTCGTCGTTGTACTCAGTGTCTCAACAACATCATGCACCAAACCTATTGTTGCGGTTGTCAGTACATATTTGCTGGCTATCCTCGTGCTGCTGTTCGCAGCCCTATCATCACTAGGGTTCACACAGAATGCAATAATGGTGATGGGCATGGGCAACTGCGGCTGGAATGTCTGTAGTGCGTATGATATGTATTGCACCAAACAGCCATAAAGCTATCGATCATTCGGAGACAACATCCCTATACCGCCGACTCCGTGTGCGAACCCATAGTCGGCCTGTTGTGTGAGCTGTCGTTCTTATCGATGCTACAAACATGCTTCTTGAGGTCCTGCACTGCACCACTCGCAAATTCTAGATGCCCTTTGCCAGAAGATGTTGCGGGCTTGCCATTGTTGTATTGAAGCTTGAGGTCTCGACAGGCCAGGATCATGCTTATAGATCATGTACACCAGCATTTCAACCAAAAGATGCAGTTGAACTTGCAAGTCTTGGGGCCAGCATGAAGCCATGTGTGCCTCAAAATGAAGAGGCTCTGGGGGCTAGAGCAATGCTTGAAGGCCGTGACACGATATGAGAAGTAGATCGTTGCAGCCCCCTGGATGATTGCGGCGGCCGCCGTGACGATTCGAGTTAGGTCCTCGCCAAGGTAGGTATATCATCCAGACAAGAGCGTCGAGTTGAGGACTTGGATGTGATTACTGTTGCCAGGTTTACCGGAACGTGGAAGGACTATTAGTATACAGGTGGTCTGGACTCCGGACCTATCCGTCTGGAAGACAGCACAAATTCAATCCTACTTCTGCGGTGGCCGCCGAAGCAGACTCCGATCTCATAACACCTTGATGGCATCCCGTAAGATGCCTAGCCTTACTCTACATGATACCAGACCTCTGACTTTTCCAAAAATACTATTTGCTGCAAAGCTATGCAGAAGAATCAAAATTCACGGGTCAACGAATGTAGCTTTACGGCTCGTGAGGTAGGTCCAGGACTCAGGAAGCTACAAAGCTTGCTGAATGCTTTCTTCCGGAGAGGTCCGGTATGTCGTCACTCCGTGACGCCAGCATCACGCCGACACATACCTCGCATGGCTCTGCAGTTCTTGCAGAACTCAGTATCTTCAACGATGTGGAGGCTCCGAAGCTTGTAAGCTCTGCTCGCCGTGGGCAGTGCAGCTCTCAGGCCGCGCACTCTCCGGAAAACGAAACACTCAGGCCATAAGTCAACACACATGGGGCCAACAGGCCTCAACATTCGGATTCGGCTTTTGATACATGTAGAACCACAGGCATGTGGGCTGCACAGAAACCATATTGCGAATTATTGAGTATCAGAAGCCAAAGGCTTATTTCAGAACCAATTGCTGGAGATGGATGGTGGAATCGAAGGAAGACGCATCTCCTACGACAACCAACCGACACGCTGACTCCAGAAGGCTGTGTCCAAGTCCAAAACAGTCAGAACTCGGCATTGCACACTCCGAAGGCTTGTTGAGTGACTTTCGCTCTTGCTCGAATCTCCGAGAAATATCAACCTTTGCCATAATAGACGATTGCGTAGTTGCGACTGGGGTAAAGGCAGCGCTCTACAGGAAAATCTATCATTGGCTAGGGCTGGTGCGTTTACGTTTGGCACCAAAGGGCCTGAGGGATGATGCTGACCAGGATGACCGGCGTTGTCCCTGCACTGCAACAAATGCTTTAAAACACAGGAATCCGGGCTGTGGGAGACATCACGCTTGAAGCACTTGCGCTCTCTGATGCGCAGCAGATCTAGCAGCTAGCAGCCCAGAGCAATGACGCCCGAGCTGAGTTTGGGGCTCAGAGTTCAGGGCCCGGAACTGAAGTGAACAGCTCGAAGTAGGGTTTGGAACGGAGAAGTGAAAAGTTAGAAGGTTATGGTTGCAACACTGGAGCCGTTGGAAGGGCTCCTCGCGAGGATCGAGATTTCTGGTTTGCAGAAAGGACGACTGCCAATGCCGGCGACTGCTACTAGTACGGCGACGACGACGACGACGACGACGACGGCTATGACAACCACCGCCACGACCACGACGTCGACTACTACTGCGACGACGACATCGGCCAAGTGGACGAAGTTGCCGACGACGGCGACAAGGATGGTGTGGTGACATTGCTAAATACGACCGCATGGGACGTGGATGAATGGGGCAGAACAAAATGAACATTCGAAGCTTTCACCGCTTGGCTAGCAGTCTTGTGCCTGGTGTGAGCAATGCTTCTGCTCCTATTGGGTCAGCTGTTCACATTAATGTGGAGGCCCGAATAGACCAGCGGGGTTCTTCAAGCCGGGACCAAAAATTTGGGGGGTGTCCGAATTAATGCGTGTGTTTTTTTTGGGCCTGGCCATTTTGTTGTTTGTATTGCTTCCCTTTAATTGTCAATCTTACAGCAGCGACGACCTAAAACCCCCTCCAAACCCCAAAACCCTGGCCCAGAATCCCGAAACTCTCCCTAAACCCGAAACCCCACTTAAGCCTAAACTGCCGAAACCCTCGTCACTCAACCCTAAACCCTCAAACTCTAACCATACTGTACTAGTACTGTACTACTACTGTACCACTAAAATTGTACTCCTGCACTTTGTACTACTGTACGACTACTCGATTGTGGAGGGGAGTGTAGGCTGGAGGGAAAAGTCTTCAAAAAGAAAGGATTTTAACGGTGGCAGTCATCTTGGAGTGACCAGGGCTTGGTTTCGAGCTTTTGGTTCTCGCCACATTGGCTGAGACTCTGGTGTGCCTGCACTGGTCTAAACCTGATGTCTTCTGATATTGAGATATTGAGAAGACCCATGAAGCGATCGACGTGTTTAATAGGGCATTGGGCTGACGGATTTGTGCCCGTTGCCCTAAACCCAAAACGCTTCGCAGTCAGGACCTAGGATGCAGTTAAGATCAATTTCTCGGCATCTAGACGCTTCGCTTTGCCGGCAGGTTTGCGACCCTCCGAAACGAGTGGACAGACATCCCGACTCAAAAATAGTGAGGAGTACAGGGTACGCAGTGCTGCAATGCATGCTCAGATTCTGTGGCGAATTCACAAATCGGAAAAGTGACCTCAGCCCGTAGAATCCCCCTTTCGACCCGACACCCAAAACACTGAGCCTATAGTACTGCCTCGGTGAACGCTTCACTGTTCAAGGTTGAAGGCTTTGCATAGTGACTTCCTGATGTTCCAACGATACGAATGAGACTCCAGTGCCTGCAGCTAGGTTTCCCAGAAACCGCTTTACAATGCAGGTACTTTTCTGCCAAAGGTTCAGTCTTAACACGGGGACCCAAACATCAAAATGGTTTTGTGGATACTGCTTGGGGCCGAGGCACCTAGAAGCATCTGAGGAATGTTGAGCTTCAGAATTCCACAAAGAACGCTCGTGGGAAAGTCCGGCCCAGCGACCTCAAAAGGGATCATAGTCAGCTGTGTAGGGCGAAGTGCCCTGGGACGGCTCCTGCCAGAGGTGCCCTGGCCCCAAGACCAAGTACACTGAATTTCGGCAGCAAGGCCGCCGGGTTAAGATTTTAGGATCTCGGGATGGGAATAACGCTTCCTCCTCTACAATCTGAAGGCAGACCTGTGCCTGGACCCGAAACCGAATCGTCATCCAAGCGCTTCCGTGGGGCGAGGATGCATACCTTTCCAAGGCCCAGTCCGCGTCGGCTCCTGAGCTACATAGGGGCCTAGTTGGTCCATGGTGTAGCTGCGTAGCTAGTTAGGATAACGGCTCAGAACATCTGCCCCAGACCAACGACAGCATACGGAGTGATTCGTTTGAAAAGCACTTGGCGCCGTGGCACCTGTCAGGACAGCCTGTGGAAACAGAAAGCGCAGAAAAAGAGACATGCATAGAAACAAGCTGAGGATTTGGACCTAGGGAGTTTTAGGATTGAAGCGCTCCTGGACCAGAGTCGTTCACAACTATACAGGAGCCAGCGGGACCGTTGTATCCTCCACACATGGTGAGCATGGTGTTCAACGGTTTGTCTTGGTTCGGCAAAAACAGGTTGCCGTTTCAAAGACCCATTACCAGGGAACCCTAACGTCCAAGCCTATCCCCACAGCACCGACCAGCTGAAACCTTAGCTCTTGAATTATTTCGGAATCGCAGGATGACCCAGAAATGACTTGACGCCCCTGCAAGGCATTGAACTTACAAAAGAAACACAATTGCTGATCAACGTCGCAAAATGCAACCATAATTTCACACAGTAGTCGAATGTGAAGAAACAGTTGAGAATATGAGGGTACCGGGCTTCAGAATCATCTCCATAGCTCGAGTGAAGACCCGATCCACCGCCACAAGACGCTGCACCCGCACCGACTTCCCTGCAATGTAGCCAACCAGGTACTGACCTTCCAGGTGCTGGGGCTCAAAGCCTAATCAGGGTCCGCGTGTAGGCTCAAGTCACGAAACTCGACATGATGCAGCTGCCTGTGCACGCGAGCATCTTCGCAACCGAGCTGACAAGGACACCAATGCCAATGGCTCTCCAGACATCGTCTTGGCTGTCGAGTTGCGCCTGGCAGTGTAATGGCTGTAGGATTCCATCGTGGGCGTCAAACGAAGTTGCTCATCATGGCTCATCATCAGCTGACGGTAGTCAGTCTTGTAACTTGGATGATGACACTTATGATGCCGAAACGGCGATGGCGAGGATGTTGATCATTGTCACGATAACAAAGATGACCATGATGGTGGTGTTGATGATGATGAGGATGCTGATGATGTTGATGTTGAGGCACTAGCAGTAGTAGTGGTAGTGGTAGTAGTAGTGGTAGTAGTAGCAGCAGCAGCAGTAGTAGTACTAGTAGTGGTGGTGGTGGTAGTAGTAGTAGTAGTAGTATTAGGAGTGGTAGTAGGAGTAGTAGGAGTAGTAG